ATAGATACTACCATGGTTTGGCAAGCTGGAAATGTGCCTGAGCAAATTGTCGTTATATATCTAATCTGGTCATTCCACATGGGTAGTCAGAAATCCATATCTGCCCCCAAAGATGGAAGTTAGAATGACTTCGCGAAGTATGACACAAAATCTGAGCATTTCATGATTTGTTTGATTCTCTTAATTGTTAAATATGATTTTGATTTGATTGTTGTGACTATGACATGCTGTTTCTTTTAATAAATAAAATTGTTTTCATAAAGCATGATAGGACCTGAAGTGACCTGACGGTAAGTATCAATGACATAATTATTCACTTTTAAAATCTTATGATGTTATTTAAATACTATTTTTCTTATTGAGTGTATGAAACTCACCATTTCCATGCCCCCCAGATGAGGAAGATAGTGAAGAACCGACTGTTGACCTATCCCTTGAAGTCTATGAGGATCCCATGGATCCACAAACCTTGAGTGCATGACTTGTCTCGCACTTTGATAAGCCAATTGCATAGTGAAAGAAGTGACCCTTTCATATTTTGATATTTTGTATTTTTCCACTTCTTGCCTCAATTATATATATGTGTAATTTGAACTCACATATTTTAGTGAGGGATTTATAATAATTTGCTCCACTCATACAATTTTTATCATGCACTCGTAATTTATTTCTGTATCTAGCATCTTTATGCTTAATTAGCATTTGGGATATCACCAGATGGTATAAGAGCAGTTACACAAACTAAATCCCTTACAACTGAGACCGTAGGTAGAAAGACCCTTAGGATATCTAGAAAAATAAAGACATTTTTTCCAAAAGTAGACCACCAACTCGTGTCTTTCTTTTTTTTGTAGGAATGACACAAGGGAGACGTTATGTAAAATGTACCAAGAGACCCAAGGCCCAAGACCATCCAACCAGGGCCAAGTTTACTAAACTCTTCTAAGCTATCTAGGGATTGACCACAGCCGTAGGATAGAAACAAGCCAACCCTTGTCAACACCCTGCCTGAAATACTGAACAACTGAAAGGTCTATCTCTCACAACATAATAGACTTTAAGAAGCTTAACCCATAGCACTTTGAAGGTGGCCTTGACCCCTTAGTAGCTGAAGTTTAGATCATGCAGATCGAGAAACTTTTCTCTATCCTAAACTTAACCAAGGAATAGAAGGTTCCCCTAGCAGCCTTTATGCTGATCACTAAAGCAGAACACTGGTGGTGACTTAAGAAGGAAGTCCTGCCTACCCCTACCACCTGGGAAGTTTTCATGAATGTATTCTTTGATAAATTTTTCACAACCTATGTTTGAGAGAATGAGGAATAGGAATTTCAGAACCTCTGCCAAGAAAATCTTACAGTTGCCTAGTATGCAGCCTGATTTGTCAAACTGTCTAGGTTTGCTCCTCTAATGGTCACCCTCAAAAGTTGTAAAGATATGAAGTTTTTAAAAGGCCTTTGTGCTGATATCTATGATTGGGCGCGATGCTGAGACTTAGTTAATATTCTGAGGCTTAGCTCATATGTTGAGGTGCTAAAACATGTTCAATTGGACAAAGATCTCATCTCGGCCAAGCACCAATGCATTGCCCAAGTCTGTACCCAATAATAATAACCCCAACAACCCAAAAGAAGATTGCCCAACCCAGCCAGTAGCCACCCTAATAAATGAACCCGAGTTGCCCTTCCCCCTACTCTACCTCCACCTGCTGGACAACCTAGCCAACCTTCCTAACCATGTTAGCATTGTGGTAGTTCACATGGTGAATTATCTTGGCGGAATATCAATCATGCCTACTATCGGTGTGGAAGCACCAAACATCTTACAAAAGGACTGCCCTCAGCAGCTGAAGGACGTGGTCAAACCTGTAGCCGAAGGTCGTGTGTACCACCTAGATGAACCTAGTGCCCTCCCCACTCTTATCTTTATCCAGGGTATGCTTTCTATTCATGATACTTTTATCAAGGCTTTGATCGATACAGGTGCTACCCACTCTTTTATCTCTTGTGCATTTGCTTGTAATTTGATATTAGCTTAAACCTTTAAAGAATATTAACCTATAGAGACTCCTCTAGGGATTATTAGAGCTCATTATGTGTATAAAATTGTA